AGTTGAATCTAGTCAAGTGAATTAAATGTTTTGATGGTTCCTATGCCATCTTGATACGTATAAATAGGACCACATATTGCAGTATTTTGTAAAGTAAATAAGAAGCACATGTTCAGATTATATCTCTCCAGGTTATCCAAATTATTTTGCCTTCATTATTGGTATATACTTATATTTGTGATTCCAAAAAATCTCATAAGGCATTAAAGATAGGTAAATTTATAAAGTAAAAAAGTCGAACTATTGAAAATACAATATTTGTCTTTAAGATGGTTTCTCCTATTAATAAATTCAAATAAGATGAATATATACAATGCACGGATTCAATGATTTAAAAGCAAGAGGAGAGAAAACAAGTGAATGTTTAAGCATTTCACATCAGCACCCTAATGATATTCATACTTGACTAACAAACATTGGTTAGTATAGAAGATTACATGAAGACCGAAGGATAAGACATTGCTAAAGTATAGAGTTATAGAAACAAGTCAACAGAAAGATTTAAGGGGAAAGGGGAAAACAATATTAACAAGTGATTACAAGAAAAAGGTGGAGAAACAAAGTAAAGTAAAAATTCCACGTAGAACAACACTGAAGGCATTACCCAAATTAACCGAACCAGCAATTTCAATAAAAAGTCCAATAAACACGTAAAATAAAGCAATTTTTCAAAGGTTGATTCAATCAAATTTTTTTTCAAAATGAATGATTTGATAAAGATAAATAAGATGTAAGATCAATGTAGTTTAGCTCAAGAATATAATACTTTAAGTTCTCTTAAAAGTGTTTTAATGAATGCAAAGTGAAATGACATTTACAGTAGTCAAAACGCCAAAAATTTGACTAATCAGACAATCAATCAGGACGTCCTCATTTTTAATCGGACAATCTAACTAGCCGTTTGCATCAGAATTCAGAACGGTTAAAAAAGTCACCATTGGATGAATTGGACATCCTCTTGGACAGTTTTTCCAGAATTTTTCTTTCTTGATTATTTTGAAAAATGTCGGCTATTGAAGGACGTTTTCACTTTATTTTTACATTGTAAAGAGTTTGAATATCAAATTGAACTATTTACCTTTTAAAAAATAATTTATATGCAAGTGTTTTTATAACATAATTTTCTCATGCATAAAAAATTATTCATTGAGCTTTTAACGATTCATTAATGCTACTTATTAACACATTGTACATTTACATATGAATCCAAAACATCTTAGTCTAATGTTTTCAATGTTTGACTATTGAAGTTCTTTGTTTCGAGTTATTTCTCATGAATGCCCAGCTTCTATCTCAATTTTTATTGATCATCCGGTACAAGTGTTTTGGTAGTGATTTTTTTGTCCCCAATTGATCAACTTTGCATCAATAGCTATGAAGACTCGAATTTAATCATTAGAAATAAAATCAATTTGTTTGTTATAATCAAAACTACATGAAGTCAACTATAGGTCAACAATGGAAATTTGGTAAATTTTGGTTTGAAATCGGACAATTTAGACATTTCAAATGAAATGGACTTTTAATACATGATAAAATAGACTAAATGTTATTTTACCAAATATTATTGACTGTAGGCTATTTTACCAATCATTATTGTTGACTAGGAATTTTAAGCAAATACCCCACAATGAAAAGAATATCTAAGATTTTTACTTGTTAAGGGTATTTAAGACAATTGATGCATCCTTCCACACATGGAGAGTATGGTAGGGCTTATTATATTCACGTCACAATTTTTATCTATTGCACAACATTTTAATTATACTTAAGGTCTTCAATCTTTAGTTATTTATAACACTTGTGTCTTGATTTTTTTCTCATCAATTCATATCTTCAACCTTTAATTAATTACCACATCTAGTCATTGATGATGATTTACTGTAACATATTATATTTGCATGCCTTGAATCGAAAAAAATAAATATTTTTATCACACTTTTGCCATTTTTTTTTTTCGAAAAAAATGATGGGAAAGTAAGTGTCCTTCAAATGAACTTTTGGACAATAATCATTATTAGGGATGATATGTTCTAATTAATGAAATATTGATTATAAGAATGCATCGAAAAATGTTAGAAATATAAATATTATAATGAGCAAAGATTGAAGATTTAATTAAATTAAAAGGTGGTGTAAGTATAACAAAAAATTTTGTGTGAACATAATTACTTTTATATACACAAGATAGGCTTATGTGGATTAAATTGTATTCATCGATTTCTCTCACCACCAATTTGCTGCAATTTGAATTAAGTTCATTTTGACTGATAAGTGTATTTAATACACTTATTTGAGGTCTGAAATATCGATATTTGGCCATTTTTTTGACAAAATATATATTAAATTGTTGTATTTTATGTTATATAAGTTAAACTCAATGGTTGAACGAAAAATTGGAAGAAACAAAAGAAAATCAAGGAAAATGGCAAAGTCCAAAGTTTGAGAATCAAATTGTAAATATTCAATAGTTGATTCGGATCACAAGATGATACTTTGAAAATGGCTGGGCGATAATTGGATGGAATTAGAACTCAAAAAGGAATGAAATATGATCAAAATATTATCAAAATCAATTTTCAATCGTACAAGTTATATTCAAATTTTTTAACCGAATATTGAGATCCATTTTTTGGCAGAGTAAACAATAACACTTGTGTCTTGATTTTTTTTCTCATCAATTCATATCTTCAACCTTTAATTAATTACCACATCTAGTCATTGATGATGATTTACTGTAACATATTATATTTGCATGCCTTGAATCGAAAAAAATAAATATTTTAATCACACTTTTGCCATTTTTTTTTTTCGAAAAATATGATGGGAAAGTAAGTGTCCTTCAAATGAACTTTTGGACAATAATCATTATTAGGGATGATATGTTCTAATTAATGAAATATTGATTGTAGTCCTTTGAGTTATCTTTTCAACGCACTTTTAATCTTCTCAATCGGATATCGGGAAAACATGTTATAGTCAAAATACCGACGGTTGTGTAGAGACAAAAAATCCGCGCGCGAAGATAACTTTCCTTATTCAATTGGAACTCTTTTAGATACCAATTTGGATATAATTTTCAACCAATTTTCTACTCCTAAAAATACCTTACAGCAAAGTATATATTAGAGACCTCTCATATACATCTCATACTCCAATATTCATCAATTATTATCATCAAATGTGGAAAATTCATAATTTTTATGAGAGAATTGAAGGAGACTTATAAGAATTCAATCAATTGGAGATCTAAACTTGATTTTTTTCAGCAAAGAAGAGAAGGCGTAAGTTTTCATCAAGAAACCATTAAAAATATTCAAGATTTCAAGATTCATCTTCTTAATTTATAAAAAATTCGTCGTGTTATGTCTTTTCACTTAAATATGATTTCTTGTAATTTCGATATGTTAGACTAATTTTATACATTATTAGGATGAGATGAACCTTGTTTTAAAATTTTTCATAATAATTAATTATTTTCACGACTAATATGTTTATTTTCTTGAATGTTTATTATAGTTTTCGCAGACTTTCAATGAATTAGCAACTAATTGAGATGATTTATTGAAAAATATTATTATTGAGAAAGATAATAGGTTTTTAGCTAAAAATAATATACACTAATGGTGACCAACAAGAATGATTACAAATTGTCACTTTAATTTGTTGTGCTAAAAATTGATTAACAAGGGGGATTTGATATCTTAGCAGTACTTTTACATATTTGAAATCAAACCATTTAAATTTCTTTTTTACTTTAATCGATAATTTAGACATTAGTATAGAAAACTCAAAATTTATTTGCTATTCGATTAAAGTTGCTATTAATTTAAACTCGATTGAATACTTCATTTTCGTGGGATTGACACTCTACACACTGCTATAATACTGTTCACGATTCTATTCACTTGCGGGAAATCAAACGATCAAGCTCTAAAAAATACGTGTATGGTTCATTAGCACAAAAATATCTTTAAACATCTGAGAAAATAAATTTCTCATCAATTTTAGTAAATATATGACATAAGATGTTTTACATAAATATTCAGAAAGGACAATATTTTATATTGTTAAAAATTAGATAGAAAACTTCGTGAAACATTCCCTTCTCAGGATTCAAAGGGAATAAAATTTTATAATTGCAGTTGAAGTTCTCTGCCATCACAGATTCTATGACTTTTGTGTCACACCACCGTTATTCCATCTTCACCGTTGTGCAATTGTGCATCCCTTTCTACCCATGGTGGCCTCACAAATCTCAGATGTAGCTGCATTCGATCTAGTTGAATTTGATGCAGAAGCAATTATGTAATTAATTTCGAGAATACTATTAAGTTTAGAAATTCACAAATTCTTTGATTTGTAATTGAATATGAAATAAATTTATTTTTATGAACAAAGTTTTTGATTTCATAGGATATTTAAATTGAAATCAGACAATTTTTAATACTACCCCACCGAAAACTGACAAAGCTATAACTTGGGCATAACTAGTACAATCGAGGAAGAAATTTGGTTTATCAAAAGAACTAATTTTCATTGAGTATCTAAAGTGCAAGAAAATAAAATAAAATAAGAAAACAAGAAGGTAATTATAGAAAATCCATCCCTAATCAAAGAAGTATTGTCATGTTTAAGGGCTTAGTTGCTTAGACTTTGTAATGCGTCGATTTAAAATACACTTATAGTTGATATGAAGCTTTATCCAAAAAGATAAGATAATTAATTATTGGATAAGATAATTAATTAACCAGGCAAGGTGGTCCTTATGATGACGTTAATCGTAGGTGATAATTAATTAGTACATGTATAGTAAACATTATTTTACAGATGGAAACACCAATTATTTATGATGTCTCCCTTTTATTCTTCATTTTTACTAGTATTATTTCTTGTGCAGTTGCGCCTTGCACGACAAACTTCAATTTTTATTCATCAGAAGGAAACCTTGTTTTTTGTAATTTATCCTTCAATATTTTTAGTTTCCCCACCAAAGCTTCTCAGCGGTACAAAACTCTAATCCCCTCTATATCGTCTGCATCCAAACCCTTAGTTGTACCAGCAGCTATCGAGGGAAACATAATAGCATTTCGAACTGAGCTATGACCAAGTCCAAGAAGATGGCCAATCTCGTGAAGAGCAACGGTTTCCAAATCAAATGCTCCTGCCATAGCACCTATAGAATATCTCTCATCTGCATCGTAGTGAAACCATCCGTTGGTAGGGGCGAAAGCATGAGCAATAGTCCCACCAGGGCCATCAAATGGGGCTCCATCGCCATGATCACGCCTATGAAAACCGATAACTAAATCAGCACCAGCTGTGTTTTGAACACGTGAGAATGAGAAACGTGTTGCTGAATCCCATGTGTTGAATGCTCGTGCAACAGGGCTGAAGGCAGCAGCTGGTGTATTGGCTTCAAATGCATAGGTGAGGTGTGTTTTAGAAGGTGGCCATCTAGGGTTACCCGGGAAGAAGCTGTAATGTGAGACCATATGAATGGATTTGGATCCATGATGAGTATGGTCCATGCCTCCTGCTCGCATCCTGCTAGTTCCATTGACAATATCGGGCATACCACATCGGGGTGTCATCATCTTTGATACTGTTTCAGCATCTAAAATACCAGTGGCCTTGATATCGTAGTTGATTTGATAGTTTCTGATGGCAGACTCCAGAGCATCGTCGAAATCATCAGAGGTTTTATTCTTGACACTAGAATAATTAAGATAACCAAATTTTTCAAGATAGTTTTTAAGCTGATGAAGGCCTTCTACTTTTTCACCCTTGTGGCAACCTTGCAAACCTTTAAGGAAATAGAATGCTGACGCTTGTTCATCGTTAGGCCCCTTCATCTGTCTATTGCTAAGAACAGGAATGGCTAAAGCAAAAAGAAAGAGGCACGTGAAGAGCACATAACTTTTGAAAGCCATGGCCAAGGACAAAGATATCCTTGGAGGAGTTCTCAACTAGTGTTGCAGAGATTTGTCCAACGTTTGCATCTATTTATAGACTTGCTTGGAGGGAAAGAGAACTTTTGCTTTCCTATTGTATTAATATTAAAGTTGAAATTTTCCGTGCCATAGGGTTGGGGAAATGCCAAACCTCCCGGTTTAGGTTTAGGCTGCCCTAAAAATCCTCACTTGCTTAGAGTACGTTGGTGAGACCAGTGACTGCTCAATATTATGAGTTCCAAGGGATCTTGATAACATATGAAAGCATATATTCTTTTGTAACATAGTTTTACATATATCATTTGCTACGAATTTAAATGCTTTATTTCAAATTCGTCACTGGTTAAAAATAAATTCATATGGCGAACAAGATGATATTTTATCAGGCATGTAGGTTTTAATATTATTATAATAAGAAATATAAATATACAGCATCAAGTACTGCAGATTGAGAATAAAAAAAGGTTGAACTCCAACCTTGAGGGCCCCCCACTGACCCTACACTGAGTCATTGTGGAGGAGGTAAATCGCAGGATGTGCCTCCCAGGAGCCAGGGTGGAGAGCTTATGGATAGGCCTTGGGCTATTAACCCTATGGTAACTCCCGCTTGCAACAAAGCCAATTCCACCTTGCGGGGAATCGAACTCTGCACACTACTGCGTTGAGCCCTAACCGCCCTCCCCTTTGCCACTGGGAGATATGATGTAAGGGAAACATGGCTTCAATGGTAGTGGCCTTTTTTTTTTAAAAAAAGATTTTCTAGTAGATTAATCAATAAACTTTATTCATTGAAATAAAATGATTTATGCACGCTTTCCAAAATTTATAGGGTCCAATGTCTAATTTGCTAGTTTCTTTATTTATTATGTGATAATTATTTTAATTAGCTCCTAATACATTCAAATATGTGTGATCACTCAAGTTTTTAATTGGGATAATTTCCATCATATATTGGTGTAGACACATAGAAAGAGTTGAATGTTTAGAAAAATTCTTGTTTGATTACTGTCTCTTTGAAGTTAAAAGGCACTCTCGTTTCTTAAACAAATTATGGCCCTGTTTGGGGAGGATTTTGATTTTTCTACAGTAAATCAATTCTAATTTTCAACCACACATTCTTCAATAAAATAATATTTTCCATCACATCAATAATTTTTTCTTCTTTTTCAACCACATATTTCCCATCATATCACTATTCAAAATCAATTTTTCCCCAAAAATCCCTCCCAAACAGCCTCTATATTTGATATAAATTAGTTATAAACTTTTGTAAATGCCATCCACTCTCGATGCAATTTTTGTCATAAAAGTCGTTTTTAAGTTGTCATATCCCTTGAACACATGTTCTACATACATGAGTTAGTCTTGAGTTAGAATTCTACAAGACGGCATTCTTGCCGCATTTTTCCACTTCAAAAACATCACTCTGCAATAGAAATTGATCTTTTATTCGTGCAATTTGAGCTCAGTTTATCAATCCAACTGAAATGGACCACCTCAATTAACGACCTAATAACCACAAATATCCGCCCACACTTTAGTTGCTATGGTTTCACCCCCGAAGGANCATAAGAAATGAAAGCCCAATACTAGTTCGTTATGCCCTTAAAATTTTGACGTCATGAAAGTTCAAAATCAATCATGCATGTTTTCTATAAAAGTATAATTTTTAAATAATGTTGGACAGAATCGAATGTTTCCCAAATATTTGACCCGATGGTGAAAAAAAATATTATTTTTAGTATAGTAAATATTTTTTTTAGGATTTGATTTGCGTACACGTTATTTTTAAAAGGACTGAATCATAAGTTTTAAAAATGATAAATGAAATAAGGTTGAAACTTTCACAATTTTGTTGAATAGTCAAAGCATTAATTGGTAGGATATATATTACATTATACACACACGTTTCACGTAAACAATGCTTTAATGGATGAATTATTGAATTAATAGCACAAACCATTTTAAATTCCTTGAATCGATGGCTGGAAACGCTTTTTTAGAATTTGGTTCATTTCCTTCAAGTCAAAACACACATACACGTATGGCATTAATTGGAATGAAACCCACATTCCAAAAACACACATACACGTATGACATGTTTTCAAAATGCTTAAAATTAGGAATGAAATCTACAAACCCATTTTAAATTCTCTTCAATTGGGAGAGTGATGAATGCAACCGTTTTTCTTACCTTTCATTTACCAAATATATATATATATAAGAGACGGGAAGCAACAACCACCGTCAAAACTCTATACATGCAAAAGCTTTTAACGAATGTACGTAGAGGTGCATGTGTTTATTTCGTTTTCAAATTATTATTTTTCGTTAAAAGTTTGAATGAATTGGTACCTCCGGGTACGGTGCTTCGGAGCTACAATAGTTTGAACGATCATTTTTTGGCTCTACATGTTATGATATTACTATATAAATTGGATTTTCCTGGAAATCTCTCTACGTTCGACGGTATGAATCCACAGTTTGAAATTTCTAATTTGATGGCGAAATGCACCGATGATATCTATTGAGTTTCAAACTCATGGGTTAATTCCCCTCCTACTTGTTGATTTGAGATGCTTGAGGTATGGATGACGGTAAATGATGATGCAACATGCTATGGAGAAGCCAGTGACATAATGCTTTAATTTGGTTACAAAACGTGTACTGCTTTATATAAATAGATTTCTATGAACGTTATGTGTGTAACTATTTTAAGAACATTTTTATGAATAAGTAATGTTTAAAAGTAGTTATGTGTTATAGAAATTAACTTAGAAGTCACCATTTATCACAAAAAGAAAGTGTTCGCGATTTAGTGTTGTCGTTTTTCTAAATTTTCACATTCTGCCCTGAGTTTTTAAAAATTTATAACTTAATTATTACTTGGAATTTTTTGACAAAACCAGTGGCATTTGATAGTCATAGATTAGATACTGAATAAACTTGGAGTCATGTCGAATCAATGTGTGTACAATTTTATATGTCCCTTAAAGTAAACTACACTGGGTAGTGTTGTTGTTTTGAGCTTCTGCCCTTGGCTTCAAAAATTCATAACTCAATCATTACTTGAATTTTTTGGACTAAACCAATGGAATTTGATAGTCTCATGGGTTACCTACTGAATAAAATTGAAATCATGTCGATTCGATATGTGTAAAATTTTATATGTCTTTGAGTAAACTGTGCGGGGTAACCTTCTATACTGAGTTGTTACAGGGTTTTGAAAAATATTTTAATACCTCCTATGTTGCCAACGGAAGCTAATTTTTGGATATGTCATAATATAAAGTATTTCCTACATTACTATAAAATTTAATGAATTTCGGGGTCGATAGCTATGCAAACGAATTTATTTTTGAAATTGCCGTTGAGATAGAAAACAAAAACAGTAACATTTATTTTTCATTTTCTTCCTAGAATTTCACGTCAATAATATGACTTTATTTCTAAGAAATTATTAGATAATCCCTTAATATGAAATGATGTCATTTAGAATTAAATAATTTTTGAAATAAATTCTTAAGTTAATTTTTTATGCTTTCCGCTAAATGTATAGTTAATTATTTAATTAAGTGTACGGTCTACAGGTAAAGTAAAGTTAATCTAGTGACGTTTCGATCCATGCGGGTCGGGGTATTATAGCATGGTATCAGAACTCGAGTTTAGTCAATTTTGTAGACTTAGCGTATTTTGTTTATAAAAAAAAATTCTTAACTACAAAGTGGGAAATTAAAAATAAGAAAAATGAAATATTTAAGGCACTCCATGGCATCTCGCATCCATCAGTCGAGCTCATCCTACGACTCAAGTATCTTTAACTAAGCAAAGTTTAAATTCTTATTATGAAACAGTTATAATTCTACAGTTATGTTTTTCATGTTTCGCTACATTTTACATTTTACTTTATGTACATCTTATATGTAAGGATAAATGTAGTTTGGAAAAGAAAATGTGTTGCTTAAAAGATATGTATTGGGCTAGAAATTAAAAATGGGGATGACAGGTGGCTAGGGGAAGACAAAATCCAAGGAGAAGGAATAATGTTAGCCAACAAGAGATAGATATCCGAGCTTACTTAGATTTTTGAGGTAGACGAATCCTTAGATCTTGACAATCACATACGAAGCGTGTACGAACATTGACTAAAGGCAAAGATTGCGGGTTATAGGATTAGTGACCGACGGGAATAGGTCATTTTCTAGAAACTCTTGTCCCTCGTGAGAAATGTATCTGGAAGCTTATACAAGAAAATATGTATCTTAAATCTTGGAAAGTGAACCTAAGGAACTTGACTTTGAGGATTTTTGCAATGCCTATATCCATAATTGGGAGACTATGATTGGTGATGTTATCTCTCACTCGGGATCCAAATAGGCAATACCTTAGTTGACGAAGTTGCACAACCAACCATGGTAGATACTAACAGAGATGAAGAAGAAGATCCAGAAGAAGACCTAGAAAAAGACTAAGAGTGAAATGACTAGATATTATGGAGATTACTCGTTTATTTGAATTTTTTAATCCCAAGTATTCAGGTATTGGTATACAAATTCAATAAAAGTAATCATTTCTTTCTTCAAGCAAACCAAAACAACTTGATAAGGGACCTCCTGCAAGCGGTTCAAGATCTTGGCAGGCTGAATCAGAACCAAGCTCCACCCTTACCACCAGCTCCTGTCGCTCACCCGACCCATGCCTCGATTGTTGAGTTATTTCGAAGGCATAAGCCTCCTACTTTCGATGGAGCATCTGGTCCACTGGTAGTTGAGGAATGGCTTCGTAAGTTGGAACGAATTTTTCGGCTTATAAACTGTACTGATGCTCAAAAAGTCCAGTGTGATGCTCAAAAAGTCCAGTGTGCAGAGTTTATGTTTACCGGTGATGTAANAGCATGGTAATTTGTCCTTGACTGACTACAAGCGAAAGTTTGATCAGCTCTTAAGGTTTGCTCTACACCTAGTTGGCACGAAAATTAA